TACATTGGAGAGTGCAGATTAACAGTGTTCTTGGTTAAGACCCCCTTAGGAAGTTACATTATTACCACTTGAGTTGCTGGGTATTTGGATCCCTCAACTACAAGGGGAAAAGGGACTTTCTTGGCCCCTAGAACAGGAACTCAGGTGGAGTCATGGGCCCCGGTCGCACATGGCAAGGATAGGTGGCCCCAAGGGAGGGAGCTTCGTAGGGAGGCGGCATCTTCCCTGCCTGCTACATTTTGGTTTCAGCCTTCCTTGATGCTTCAGAAATCCTGGTGTATTGGTCCCCTTTCCTCCTTAAAATCTCCCTACCATTGCCTCCTCCCCTTCCTAAGCCTATGTACAGCACACTGGCCTCTTGGGGATTCATAAGGGTGTTTACTATGGGGGGGGGAAGGGTAAGCAGAAGAAGAAAAGGAGAGAGTAGATAAAGGGAATAAAATGAGTCCTACCCTCCACTAGTTTCCCACCAGTCTTCCCTTGGATCGTTTAAAGTTATGGTCAGAATCTTAGGATCCCTCCAGTGGGAATCAGTCCACAGACCAGTTTTGCAGGGCCTTTTGAATGTTTTAAGAGCAGGAAGCACTGGACCAACAGTCCCACATTCCGATTGACTAGGCTCCCTTGCTTCCAAACGTCTTACCATTTTCTATTGTTTACTTCTCTGCCTACTTCACTCTTTTGTGGTGTCCTCATGGCCTTTGTGAAGCATTTGAGTTTTCACTGTTTCTTGAGGCAGACTATCTTTTATTCCTATCTTCATTTCTATTCTTTAATGATAGTCCTTAGGACATAGAACATAATCAACAGATGTATTCATTCCACGTCTATTAACACATATCTGCTGAGCACCTCCTACGGGCTAGGCACTGTGCTAAGGAGCTGTGTGAGAATGTGAACCGGACACATAAAGACCCTACTCTCGCACAGCTTCCGTCAGTGATGACATGTCGAAAGTAAGAGGAAGTCCGCATTAGGTGAATTTACAAACTAGATCTGTCAGAGGGAGAAGAGGCACTGAGATTTAGACTAGGGATCCTGCTAGTGAGGCAGCCCTGGGTGTGACCAAGTAGCTGTGATGTGATCCTGGCATGGGGAGCATGGCCTACATGGAAGGAGCCGTGGCTGGATTCATACTCCTCCCTGATACCTTAAAACTTGCAGCCTCATCTTGCCCCAACCAAGGCAGGAAACCTATTGTTGCCAGTCCTGCCTTTCTAGCCAGCCAAGTGGTGATTAGAGTATTGAGAATTATAGCAGATGTGATTGGTACCCCACCTGCATCCCCTTACCTTTATTATTTCCATGCAGGCTGGCCCAGTTTCCCATCACAACCCCTGGATCTTTTAGCCTGAGAGCCTTCTCTGGCCACCAGAGCCCAGGCTGCCGGCACATATACTGAAGTGGCAGGAGATTAACACCCCTCGGAAAAGCCCTCAACCAACAACAAGTATATAAATAGCCCAGAAGGGATACCTCTGCGGTGCACGTTCTCTACTCTTTCTCAGCAGTCCCCAGTGGGATTAAGCTCAAATGGCCTATAGTGACAGCCTGCTTGAAGTGTGTCCCCCACTAGTCTCCTTCCCTTCCCTGCCTCATGCCTTCTTTATAGATGTTTCTTGGTCTTGCCTCCTAAATGAACTGCTTGCATTTGAATCCTGGCCTCAGGGCTTGCCTCTGTGGGAACCCAAACTAAGATAGATAGCACGCTTTTTTGTTTTTCCTTTTAGATTTCTGTGGAAAATGCCTTTGGAATTTTGATAGGAATTGCATAGAATCTATAGATAGCTTTGGGTAGTAGGGACATTTTCACAATATTAACTTTCCCAGGATATATTTCCATTTATTTATGTCATCTTCAACTCTTTTTCCTCAATGTCTTATAGTTTTCAGTGCCTAGTTCTTTCACTTCCTTGGTAAATTTATACCTAGTATTTTATTGTTTTTGATGCTACTGTACATGGGATTGTTTTCTTTATTTCTTTTTCAGGTGGTTGTTACTGTATAGAAATGCAACTGATTGTTGTATGTTGATTTTTACTGAAACTTTACTGAATTCCTTTATTAGGTCTGTCAGTTTCTTAGTGAAGTATTTAGGATTTTCTATATACAAGCTCATGTCATCAACAAACAGGGACAATTTTTCTTCTCTCTTTCTGATTTGAATGCCTTTTATTTCTTTTTCTTGACTAATTGCTCTGGATAGGACATCCAGTACTGTGTTGAATAAGAGTGGTGAAAGTGGACACCTGACCTTAGAGAAAAAGCTTTCCACCTTTCACCGTGGAGTGTGATGTTAGCTGTGGGCTTGTCATATATGGCCAACCTTTTATCATGTTGAGAGTAAAATGGTGGTCGCCTGAGCCTAAGGGATGGGGGAAATGGGGAGATGTTGGTCAAAGGCTACAAACTTTCACTTATAAGATGAGTAAGTTCTGGGGATCTAATGTAGGGCGTGGTGACTACAGTTAACAATAGTGTATTGTATACTTGAAAGCCGCTACGAGAGTAGAGCTTTAATGTTCTCACCAGAACAACAGCAACAGAATGTTAATTATGAAGGTAAAAGATGTGTTAACCAACCTTATTGGGGTAACCATTTCACAGTATACACATGTATCAAGTCATCACATTGTATACCTTCAACTTACATAATGCTCTATGTGATTTATATCTCAATAAAGCTGGAGAGAGATATTGTGTGAAATGATATGGGGAGAGGAGGCAGTCACAGGTAACTACCATCAGAGAGAAGTGACAAAATTTCCCCCCAAAAGTTGCAGAAATGGGGATAGGAAGGGCTATTACACATTCTCAACTGCATTTTTGAAGGAAGCCTATAAATTCAATACAATATTTAAAATCAAATTATTTCAGCTTTGTGATGACTAAGAAGAATTTTTAGTGCCTGTTCTTTTCTCTTGTTTTCTAATGCCTACATTTGATACTCACGTCCAGCAGCCAGAGACCCTGATGTCCTTGGTGTGATCAATTTCCCTGACCTTCCTTTCTTGCTAGGATGACATTAATGCTTTCCTTCCACCATTCAACTTTGGTTTGATTTATCAACTCTAGAAGACCTTCAAAAACTTAAAATGAACCCTGAGTACATGACATCTACTGAACTATTTTTATTGTGGAAAAATAAGAAACACAATTTCTTCATATACAACAAGATTAATGCCTGGACTCAATGTCAGTAGAATATGTGCATGCAAGTGATTTTCCTGTAGAGGATATTTGTTGAGCTATCATTCTCCCCTGATCCATTTGTAATCAGGGACATGTTTTTAAAAGATGGCTGATTAGACCAGCCAATGGACACACACACACACACACACACACACACACACACACACACAAATGCTTTTTTCCCTTTAAATTCATTAGTCATTACATAGATAAATAATAACCTTGGCTACTCCAATAAATTAATTTTTTCTATAGAGATTAGAAACTTCTTTAGGCTGAGAAGCAATCCTTACCTTTTGAATAATGCCTGAATGCCTAAGGTCTAAAACAGTACACATTAACAGTGCTCGGTAAATGCTTGTTGGATTGAACAAAGAAAATAGAAATGAAATTGAGAGCAGTCTGTTTGTGATAAGTATTTGCTGAGTCTTACAGATATTCTTCTCTTCTTTTTTCTTGATGAGCTATTGCAAATATTTAATGTCCTTTGAATTGCAGGGTTAAATGGGATCATTCATATTTTTTGACAAAAGCCTAAAGTCCCTGGCATTCAACTTGTCCTGCAATTCTTTTTGCTGAAAAAACTAAAATGGAATGCCTGCCTGTTACTTCTGTGTCTTGTTCTGATACCTATACTGGAGTTCTCCAAAGGTTCTTCTCACTACGTCGAACTTCCTTTGTTTCCTGTCTTGCTTCCCACCTTTGCTCACCAGAGACACTCATGATGCTGTGGTGGCTTTTTGCACCATCCATAGAGCTTTCATCAAATTTCTTGTCTCTGGGTCCCATTGTACTCTGATTAAATAAATGGAAGCTGGTATTCACTGAAAATAAACAGCAACTGTAGAAGTCTTGCCTCTTAAGAAAACCTCTGTGTTGTTCCCTGCCCTACCGCATAGATTGTAAGATCTCTACCGCTTCCTTGTGTTCAGAAACCAAATCCTTCAGTTCATCTTGGTTCAGTGAGACAAATGCTTTATAAGAAGTGACCTATATTTCTCAGGCCGTAGGAGGGGAAGAAAAGAGTTTGAGAAAGTGACCAAGGAGGGGAGTAAGGTCGATACTATCTCTGATTCAATTTAGTTGGACTGCTTCATTTATGCCTTAATCTTTTTCTTTATAAAAACGATGGCATTTTTGATACTCTGCTCCAAACAGCTTTCTTGGGGGCGAGCGCAGATGTGCTGAGCCATTTGGCTGCCGTGTGGACCGACTCAGAGAACTTCTCTTCTCCCTAATGAAGTCATCCTCTGGGCAGCCCAGCCTTTCCCATCACTCCATGTTGGAACTTGGCTTTCACTTGCATAGTTCCGTCGTGATGTATATGGTCTTCCAGTTAAGTTCTGGAATGATCTGCCCAACCATGAACAGGACATTTACAGCAAAGAAGGAAAAAAAAACTTTTACTGAAAGAAACATTTTACTGTAACATTTTGATTTGGGGGTTGGGGAACAAGTCTCACCCTGGGAAAAATCAAATTTTTCATGGCTTTCTGAAGATATTTGTCTGTGTTTAATTTCTCTGAGTAATTTATATACTTCAGGCTAAAGAGTAATAAGATTGCCACCATCACTTTGCCTTTTGTAGAGTTTCTTTTATTTTTTAAGGAAGGCAAAAAGACCTCATGTTACTTCTGCATTTCCTAGAAAACCAAAGAGGATTTAAAGTGTTGGATAAATTATCAGTCCTTAACCTATTTAAAAAAATAATAATGAAGCAATTTTAGAGGTTGGCTTCCTTTTTCTAGGTACTGTGGAATTCATTAAAGGTACATTTTTTAACAACACATTTTTTTCACCATCCACAGAGGATATTGTGCCTAGGATCAGCCAGATCGGGGACTTGAAATGCGAACCTATTTTCTGCATATAGGTGGGACTGGAACCTTGTCATCCCTGGTGCAGCAAAAGATGATACCATGTCTAAGAACACTTCACCTGATCACTAAAAAAGAAGACTTGATATGTGATGCTAAAGCTCAGAAGGAGGTTCAGATGAAGATAATGAAATTCCCTGTACACCCACCTGCCAGCTACACCTTTCTTGTCCAGTCATTGGCTGACTGCCCCTGACTCCTGCCAAGTTCCTGAAGACAAGATCAAGGCAACGAAGCAAGGCATGCAGCTTCTGGCTTCTGGTTTCTTGTAGACACCAGCACTAGGAATGAAGATCTTGCTTTATCAATACCTGGGACTATGGAGTTTACATACAGAATATCCCCAGTACAAGGACATGATTTAAAGGGGGATACATAGAATGAGATTTTAATTACTGTTTGATTTAGACTTGAGTGTCATGGGCAAAGTAGTTTTAGTTTAAGGTTACAAAGATATACTTTCCCATTCAAAACCTTGTGATAATTTTTCAAACGTGGGAGAATCAGAAATAACTGCTCTGTCATTCACTTTGTCTTCATGAAGAGAGAAAGAGAGACACAGGGAGAGAGAGTCAGGGAGGGAGAGGGAGAGAGAGAGAGAGAAGTCCTCAAGGACAGTTAAATGGAAATAACACATCTAAAGAGTCTATTCTGAGTGTACCTTGTATACTTTCCTTTTTATTCCCTATTATAGGGAAATTAGAGAAAGCAAGCTGATATTTGGGGGTGTCGTTTCATTTTAGTTATTTGGCAGCCTGCAGGAGTGTTTAATTTTCTAAACAATATTACAAGCCGAAGTAAAGAAAAGGCATGCGGTATAAAGCTGTTCAAAATTGTCCATGTTCTGACTAGTGAAGTCGGCCTGAGAAAGTGCCTTTGCCCTATAGAACTGCTCTGTCAAGAGTTGTAATATCCATGGACGTTATAAGGAACTATAAACATTAGAGGGCTAGAGAAACACATTTGGGAAGATAAAGGAAAATATCTCAGGTTGTAAGTAGTCTCTGACCCTTATTTTTCATCATGTTTCATCATGTAAAGTTGGCATTATTTACAGGGACTGTTAAATATTAACATTTCCTTAAAAATGGTTATTAATCTGCTATTAGTTGCTTTCTTCCGCCTTAGGTCTCCTTTGCAGAAATGTTTTACTTAAATGTATTATGAAGAGAGAGCAGGGTAATGGAAAGATAATAAGCTTTTCAGATTGGCAGATGTACCACTTAGAAAGTGGCCGCAGGCGAGACATTTAAACTCTTTGGAACTCAACTAGGTTTACTCAAATTTAAGAATGAGAACAATAATATATACTTTGAGGTGTCTCAGAGGAAGGTCTGTCCTAATACCTGGAGTATAAATTTCAGTAAGGAGTTTTCTCCCTTTCTGAGTGAAGTGATCTTGATTACAAAGTTGCTAGGAGGGGCACCTGGGTGGCTCAGTCCTTAAAGCGTCTGCCTTAAGCTCAGATCATGATCCCAGGTCCCTGGGATCTAGCCTGCTTTGGGCTCCCTGCTTGGCAGGAAGCCTGCTTCTCCTTCTTCCACTTCCCCGCTTGTGTTCCCTCTCTCTGTGTGTCTTTCTCTGTCAAATAAATAAATAAAGTCTTTAAAAAAAGTTACTAGGAGGAGTGCTGGAAAGGCCACTGGATCTGGAGTCAAGAGTTGTGTTCTGCTAATAGCTCTGCTAGTAATTGTGTGACTTTAGGAAAAATCACTTTTTGAGCTTTAGTTTGCTTATCTGCTAAATGTAAAGGTTGAAATCTGATTCTGTTCTGTGACTCTGTTATTCTAAATACTTAATGAAATAGACCTTCAATGTTAAGAACGGTGGTATAATAACTATAGTAAGAATAAAAAAATCATCGTAAAACAAACAAAAAAATTGATTCCTAAATCCTGTAATTAGTAGTTATGTTATTCACTGTAGTGAGCTGATAAATAAATAAATAAGAAGAAATGGAAAGCACACATTTTGAGGACTGAAATTCTCCCAGCAAAACTTCTACCTGTTTGTCACTTAAAATCTAGCATCATGCAGAATGTATACAACTTGCAAAAGAAACTTAGAAAAGAAACATTATAAATGTGTGTGCACAGAAGTCTAGGCTTCTACAAGTTTTAAAGTATGAGTCTAAAGCCAACCCATTCAAAGAAATTTAGAGTGAAACTGGACTTTTTTCTTTAATCATCACTGTTGTATTTGATATAATTTTCTAAGTAGAGACTTCAGAGAGAAAAATCATGAGGATACTTCCATGTTTGTGTAGAAAGAAAAATTTGCTATCCACTCCAGTATCCCCCATGTTGAAACTGATGTGCACCTTGGACTTATTTTGTTCCCATTGTATAAACTCATACTTGACTTCAAAGAAAAGGAAAATACAAAGTCCCTCTTTTCTAAGAGGGAGAAATCCTTTGTGTCAACTGGTTGACCCTTTGCTCTCTTAAGGTCCTATAGGAAACCTTTTGTAACACAATGCAGGGGACTCTTCCTTGTGTTGATGTTGTTTACATAGTTGGTCAGCCTGGCTGAAAACAAAAATCACAAAAACTCAAGAAAGATTGTGGTCCCATTTCCTGACCACAAGGAAGGGGATTGATACATCCAAGGAGTCTCTGTTACTCAGAAAAATTATTAAATATTCTACCATGAGGGACACTTTGAAAAACTAAGGGAAAGGAAGAAGGAAGAAAGCAAAATCTAGACTTCTGTACGTTTGTGGCAGAGTTAGACAATCTGTTGAAATCCGACAGGGGATTTGCTTCGGGGAATTTCCTGTCCAAGCCTTTATTACCAGGGTCTTTGTAAATTGCGCTATGACGTCGGGCTCCCCTTTGGGCAGTTCCCGGGTAAGGCAGTTCTTACACTTTCCTTCTACGTCTTAGATGGATCTGGTTTTCTCAGTGTCTCTTTCAGGTTGGCCGGAGGCGCAAGCCTGACACATCCCTCGGATGGGACAGGCAGGTTCTGTGGCCGCGTAAACACGCTGTAACCAAGTTCTCTGCTGATTTTACAGAGTTTCATTCGCTCCCAAGAAGAACTGAGGGTGCGCAATTGTCTAGTGCTGGCCTGCCCCACCAGAGCCTGGGGGCTCCTTTCCCCTAACCCAGAACTGGCAGCACAGGGGGCGGGGAAGTGGGGGTGGGGAGGGGTGGGAGGGCAGTGGTTTCCGTGCGCACAGCGCGATGTTACTTAGTGAGTCGCTGAATGGGGAGCGCTGCTGTCCCCAAGCCGATTGGTACTTCTTGTCAGGAAGAAACGCCGAGAGGTGGGAGTGCCTGGGGAGGGAGGCAGGCGGTCCCTACCGCAGGCGCGGGGAGCTGCCTTTCCGCCCCTCTGCCTGCTTTCCAAGCCTGGGCTCTTAGGAGTGGCTGAAGCTGCCGAGCGCTTCAGGAGCCTGTGAATGAACCCTCCTCCTCTTCCTCCTCCTCCTCCTCCTCGCTGAGTCTCCTCCTCGGTGCTGACGGTACAGTGATATAATGATGATGGGTGTCACAACCCGCATTTGAACTTGCAGGCGAGCTGCCCCGAGCCTTTCTGGGGAAGAACTCCAGGCGGGCGGGAGCAACAGCCGCGAACATTAGGTGCTGTGGACAGGCGCTGGGACCGGGATCTGCGGCCAGCCCCGCATCCTCCTGCATCCTTCAGCACCGTCCCGCACCCTCCGCACCCTTCCCCAGGCCACCGAGCTTCCTATGTGACCCGCCCCGGCAACACCGAGCCCATTCGCGCAGCGCTGCGGTGATTTTTCCCCCAAACTGCAATAAGCCGCCTTTCAAGGTAATCACGTTTCTTTTGTTCCCCCTTAAAAAAAAAGAGAGAAAGAAAGAAAGAAAAAACCAACAAAAACGAGCGAGCTTAGAAAAACGAAGTACATTTTAATTGGTAGGAGGTTTTAATTAAGGCAAAGAGAACTAGCTGTGAGGAGAAGTTAAGAAAATATATGCACTTTAAAAATGCAGGTAACTTTCAGAAGGACGTTTGGAGAGAGGAATACCGAGGGACCGTGGTGCTGAAAAGATCCAGACAAAAGAAGCCCGGAATGGGGTGGGGGTAGAAGGACTAACGGAATTGGGGGAAGGGAGGAAAGAGAATTGTAGAGAATCCTTAGAAAAGTATTGGGGTCTTGAGCTGGAGAGCTGGAGGGACCGCTGGCACCTTGAGCTTTTTTTGTTAACCTGCTCGAGGCAAAAGTTTGAATGGGGACTCCGGAGACTTGTCCACTTGCAAGTCCCCGAAGCCGCCCCGGTGCGGGCCACCTGGCTCCCGGGCCCCTGGTGTGTGGTCAGTGCCCGGCGTTCCTGGAATGCTGCTCCAGGGCAGCTCCTGACAGGACGATCCCGCGCCGCAGCAACCCGGGACCTGGGCGGACGTTGACCCTCCCCCCACCCTGCCCGCAAGCAGTCTGGAAAGAGGTCCGGCCGGGGGATGTGCGGGGTGCCTGGGCTGCGTCTCTTTGGAGACTTGGGGGCTGTCAAGGCCCTCCCTGGTGCCCCTGGGTTCTTTTGTCCTGCGCGCGGAGCACAGGGGCCGGCCGGGAGGGAGCAGGGGATGGGGGTGGGGTTGTTGGAGTGCCGCGGCGGTCTGGGAAGCGCCTGGGCGGGAAAAGCTTGCCTTAAACCATCAGCGATGTGCAAGAATTTTCTCTCACCCAGAAGAGCGAAGTGGAGGCTTCCACTCCGGTCTCAAAGAGCAAACCAGCGCTCAGAGCGCTCTCTAGACAAAGGTGGCGCGGGGACCCGAATCTGGGGCCTCTAGGACCAGCCTTCTCGCCCCGACTAAAGCGGGTCCTTCTTTTCCTTCCATCTCTCCACACCCTCCCAGCTCTTCGCCCTAGTTGAGCAACTTTACTGGCTAATCCAGCGGCCAGGGAGAACGTGTGCCGGGAGCTCCGGGGGACGCCCTAGGCTGGAGCGTCTCGCCACCCTACAGAGGTGTGGGCGCCGCGGGGCGACATCCCCAGTGCGTGCGGATATGGGGGCCACAGGGCTGTCCCGGCTTGCTGTCTGTGTCACTGGGCGTGGAGCGGTCTGTGTGTTAGGCAGCGGAGAGCGGGTTAGAAATAGTGTCATAGCTTAAACTATTTACTCTCCGATCCAGCTGCGCCCCAGCAAGTCCTGCTTGTGCCCGGGAGATGCTGCGCGGGGGGTGGGGGTGGGGAAGAAATCTACGCAACGCCTGGAGAGCTGTCGCACCGTGCGCACACCCACAGACTGAAAGACAGTCTCGCTGTGTCCCGTTTCTCATCTTTGTGTCTCCCTCTTCTGTCTCCATCTTCTCTGCCTCTCTTCCCCTCTCCCAGCCTCTGTTCAGTCTCGCTCCTGCGTCCCCTCCCCCACGGCTGACAAATGAATGGCTAGTGTGAAATCCCTGCCTCCCCGGTCCGCGGATGCAGGCTAGGAGGGAGGAGCGAGAGAGGCAGTGAGCTCCCTCGGATCTGCCCCTAGTAGGCGTGCTTAGGGCTTGCAGAACCCAGATGTCTAGGAATAGGGTGTTTTGTGGCGGGTGTGGGCGCCCCCTAATGGAGAAGTGTAGCACAGGTGGAGGAAACCGAGCCCCCCACCTCCCCCCTCAGAAAACCCCAAGCGAGCCACTTTTACAACCATATATTCAAGATGAAGAACCTTTAGTCGTTAAGTTTTCTATTTCAGACTCTGCGACGTAAATCTAGGGATTTGGAGGACCCTGAAAGGAGACCTTGTCTTTGCGAAGTGCAGAAGCGCCAGCTCGCGAGTCCTCGGGGATGTGCGCCGCGCTCTGGGCCAAGTCTGAAGCTTGGTGGACGAACACACATGGCCAGGGGCGAATCCAGGTTTTGGAGGGCTTGTTGTTCAATTTACGCATCACTTTAAGAAATATAATACAGAATGCTTTACTTTTGGAAACTTTACTAAGGCCCTTGACCACTTGAACCCAATACTAGGGCCCCGCCCCAGGATATGGCAAAAGAAAGGCCCCTAATCCAAAGTTTAAACTTAATCAATTTCAAGACACACATCGAACATGGAAATTTTGGGGGAAGGAGTGCGCCAGGAGGAAAAAGGAGAAGGGAAGGGAAGGGTAAAGAAGTGGATAGGGGACGAAGGGGGAAGAAGAAGGGAGCGGAGATGGGGCTGACGGACGCAAACAGCCAGGAGAGGACAGGTAGGGTACGTTTCGAAGTTTGAGGCCGAATTTCGCGTCTTGTTTTAGGATATATTTTAATAAGTGACAACCAATGCGACTAAAGCGGCGTCCCAGGATGGACGGGTAGGGGAGAAACGAGCCCTTTAAAGCGGCTGGGGCCTCGGGCCGAGCCCAACTCGCTCAGCAGGCGCGGGGTAGGAGCCGCGCCGGGCGCTCCTCGCTACGCCGGAGTTCTCCAGCCGCCGCCACGTGGGCTGGGGCTTTAGTTCCCGGCCAGAGACGGGTGTGACTTGGGCTCTGAGACAACCGCTCTGCCGAACCGGCAGTCCGCCCA